ATTCTGATTACAATGATTTTTTTTTTTACGGATATGCGCACTCGCAAGGAAATGTCCTATCACGCTCGAGAAGCGGCAAGTACCTACGCGGAAATGTCGGTGTATGTTGGTCTTGAAACGGTTCAGGTTGTAACCTGCAGGGAAAACCGTCGCAGGGAGTTTATTCCACAGCGATGCTGTTCTCCAGAGATATGAATTCTGATATAATGAGGTTCTTGGTGCCTCTAGTTTGACAGTAAATTCATGGTTACCGTCTGTTTGACGGGTTCGCCTGGTAGGCGCTACTCTCGGTGGAATCATACGTGCCAACTCTTCAGAGCATTTTCCGTGATAGTACCTGTAGAAGAGAGATAAATCGCCCACAGATCTGCGATGTTCGAGACCATCCAAGTTACGAGTAAGTGCGGGGTCATTGATCAGCTTGATAGCTCGTTTTTGCACGGTGTTCAAAAGCATTAAGGTATGTTTGGGTGCTGCACTCCATATATGTGAGCAGTACTCCATAGTTGGTCGAATCTGGGCTTTGTAGAGTGTCAGCAATTGGCTTGGTGTGTACAGATGTCTTGTACGAAATAGCACCCCCAGCTTTTGGGACGCCCTTTTAGCAATATCTGCCACGTGATTGTGCCAAGACATGTTGGTCTCTGCAGTAACCCCCAAGATGTTCAACTGACTCTGTAATGTGATATAACACACTTCATATTTTGTTCCACTCGTTTTTGACAAATCGGCAAAAATATATGAAATTTTTATATGCTCTCAATAATTTTCGTCCCAAATATCAGACCGCGCCGCCTAATGAGTTTCACTTCGAAAGTTTCATATTTTTGCCGATTTGTCAAAAACGAGTGGACCAAAATATGAAGTGTGCTATATCATTGTAATCAGAATAAGATATTATATCGAACACATATATAATATACAGGGTGTTCCATTTGAAAAAATATAATGTAGGTTTATATGTCAAAAAGTTGATAGTGTTTTGTTTTACGTGTAATTTGAAAAAAAACTTGGCTACTAACCCTACATTTTGTTTTTTTGTTTACCTTGATAACTTCAAAAACAAAAAAGTTACAGGTGATCAGAATGATATCGAAGATAAAAAAACACCTGGTACAGGGGGATTAAAAAATAGGAAAATATGCAGGGTTTTTTGGTAAAAGTAGAAAAAAAATGGCACATCACTATTTTTTTAAACCTTTGATATTTTTTTCAGATTAAGCAAGTCATATTTCAGTCAAAAGAAACCTTTCGTTATCACAAATCAACCTGCCAAATTTAAAAAAAAAAAAAATGGAAAAATTTTTGAGCTGAAAAAACGATTTTTTCTAAAACTTTGACACCCTGTATCTCAGAAACTACGCATTTCTGGTCACATATTTATGGGAACTTTTTTTGTTAAAATATCGTAAGGAATGACATCCTGAAGTTACGGACCGTACTTAGGAAATACCCTGTATATTTTTCTATTTTTTGACCACCCTGTACATGCTATTTCAACTTTTAATACATAGTTTGATATTATTTTTTCAAGAAGCAGAAACTCTTATAAAGGATAACTTTTTTTCGTAAAATTGATAATAAAAAAGTTTCCCATGTGCTGCGAACTTAAGTGGATACACTACTGTATTTTATGAGAAAATTTCATGAATCAAAAATTCAAATTTTTTGTCAAAACACCAGTTCTCGCATTAGTTACTATGCAATAATTTACACTAATATAAATTATCACGTAATTCCAATCTGATTGGTTCAAATCAACAATCAAAACATGTCAGTTTATTGTTGGTATAACAGTTTTGACAAATGTATGAAATTCTTATCAAAAAAACGGCCACTAAAATCAAAAATCGACGTATCCGAGATTTTTTGAAAAAAAAATCAACCTTGTATTTTTGATGGATTTTATTCCTAACCTTCACGTACTAACTGTATTTAACTATGCTATATGATATCCTCTTTCGTTTATTGAATTCTAGTAAAGTTATCTTTGTTCGTTTTGAGTTCATTATGAAATATATTCACCATAATTATTTACACAAACTAATAACTGGCCTTGCAGTCCTCTCGCGTCGTGTAATTTTTACTTACCCCGGTGCGAAATTAAATCCGCCAGAGGCAGCACGTCGCTGCAGCCAAAATTTTTGAATTTCCGTGTTTGCAGGGCTTACAATTTGAGACGAGATCTCAAAAACTACTTAATATTTTTGAGTGAATCAAGAAGATTCGAAAAGATAATAAAATTTAGAACAATGCTCTTGTTTCATTTTTTTTAAAAAAGCGATGGGTTTGGATGTACCGAGCGATAGAAATGATGCTTTTTTTCGAGTATTTAGGTCGTGATATTTTCAATTTGCAATTTTTTTTTTCGAAAAACTAAAACAACAGCATTATTCTTTAGATTTTTATCTTTTATTATTTTCTAATCCGGTCAAAAAATATTACAAAATAAGTGAGTTCTCGTCTCAGGAAATTAACCCTTTTTCTCAATTTTTAACGGCTTGTTGTTGGCCTCTTAATACCCCAGGGCAACGTTTGTGTCCCGAGGGCCTCTGGCCCGAGGGACACCAATTGCCCGTGGGTATTAACACCTGATAATTCCCGTGGTACATAGATAATTTTATATCCTACTGAATTTAGTGTATTCTGTCTATTTTTATAAAGGAATAAACCATCAACCAAAATTTCTATTTTTTCAAAGTTTTACCTATTCAAGGTAAAAGCGGGAGTCATGGAAATCCTTAACTCCCTTGGGAGTTATGATATCCTTAACTCCCGCGCGGGAGTTATGAAATCCTTAACTCCCTTGGGAGTTAAGACCCTGTTTATGACTATCGTAACCAAGGTATTATATGGTTATAATAGTACAGTAGGATATAAAATTAATAAAAGAATATTCCCTCGAAATTTCAGCCTTGTGGGAGCAGGTTATGAAATATCATCCCTATAACAACTTTGCTAACTTCTGGCACATACTTGCAACCCTTGAAATAGGTTGTCAATTTTTTTTTTACACTTAAATATATGTAAATTAAAACATATAAAAATTGTAGCCTTGTGGGAGAAGGTTTAAAAAAAAAAATACATTTTCAAAAACTTGAGCGATGATGACGCAACCACGAGATGCCTGCCAGAACGGCATTTTCTGATATTAAAACAATATTTAAAAAATGTGTAGCTTTGTGGAAAACGGGTTAGTCGGATGAACCGCTGGCTCTTAGACTATTAGGGAAGTATGACAAAATTGATACATAACATGAAAGAAGCAGAAGATGATGACATTCTACTAATATATCATTAATCCATAAAACCGTAGAAAGGTTCATAAGATGTTTGTTCAAAGAAGAAAGAAAGGGTATTTTAGTACACTGATTACTCTATGACGCTGATAATGAGACATTTAATTGATGACGAAGCTAAATGCAAAGAATACTTGGCTCATTAGTATATCAGTTTAATGAACTGTTAATCTTGTATCCGCTGGCATATAGAAAAAACTTCTAGTAAATGTGTTAAAAGACCAATTACATCCAGAGAAAAGCTTGCTTTGGTGCTAGGTATTTCATGTTGAGAATAATGAATAATGTCTGCAGAAATATGCAAATAAACCGCAGAAAAGGCTGCTTTATTAGGGCAAAGAGATTATCGCGTTCATTCTGGATTTTATAAGAATGGATTACAGATATATAAAAGCCGGTATAAGTTTGTAGTTTTAAGTTTAAGATTGGCTGTGATACGTTTTAGATAGTGATTATTGTAAAAGTGGTGAGTTGTTTGAGTTAAATAGGGAAGTAATTAGTGTCAGAGTGTGTAGTAACTTGGAATAAATTATTGTTGTGTTAATTGGACTTTGATTTTGGAATAAACGAACCCCAAGATTCTGTCACGCACCGTCATTGCACGAACCCCAGTGCCGTGACATTGGTGTCAGAAGTGAGATATAAGTGAAATCTACGGAAGACCGGTCGGGTACGGAAACCCGGTCGTGCAATCTGTCTTCCGAGTTCTTAGTTCATAGTTCTGACGTCACAACTCGGAATTTCTGATTTACTACTTCATAACTCGGAAATGCTCATTTATTACTAGTCTGGTGAAACTTGAAAATCTAATAATAGGAGCATGTAGTCATATCGTATCAACCCTTAAAATAGGTTTTATTTTTTTTTTTAGGCTTAAACAAATGTACCTGAATTAGAATATATAGGTAAAAATTGTAGCCTTGTGGGAATTGATTCTATTTTTTAAATTTTTATTTCCAAACACTTGAGGGATTATGACGCAACCAGATGCCTGCCACATTAACGCAACATTCAGTTGACCGATATTGAAACATTATTCAAAAAATTTCTTTGTGGGAAACGGGTTAGTCGGATGAACCGCTGACCCTCTCCTACTACTAGTTATAACTTTTAATATTTTTTGTCTCTGAATCTGTGAGAACTGATTTATAGTAGGAGAGCCGGCAATATTAACGGGTATGTGATCGTTGCAATGGATAAATTTCACATAAAAGAATAAATAGCTCATAGTTACCTTTTAAACTAAATGGATAATGGGGATGGGTTGCCTTGATTCTCATGGCGGCAACCCTTTGGTGGCTGGGCGTAAACTATCCCTCTTTTTTCGAAGAAACAATGTTATCGTTACAAAAGCTGAAAATTGGTAGATATATTCTTTAATGTCTTCTCAAATAATATAATAAGTAAGTTAGAGGATGTAGATAATCCTCACTGGGCACCAAGTTGTTGCAAATATAGGCTCTGCATAATGATGTCTTGTCGTATTGCACTTTACAGATTTACCTCTCACAAATGTACTTCAAAGCACATGAAAGTAAAACTCCAAAAAAACAGCAGACAGCACCCGACTGAAAAATTAAGTTTGGCCCATGTATAGCCGCCACGCCATCTTGAATGTCGTTTCGGGTTATGTTGCTACTGGTTGACAACAAGTGGTTGTCACCTGTTGCTACAAAGTACCGTTTTGTTTATGTTTTTTTTAGACTTATTTTTATTTTAAAAGTTAGAGTAGCCGATTGGGTTCAGGAAAAGGAAATAGCCAAATTTTCAGTTTCTAATTTAAATTTTCCTTTTCAAACTTTAGAATCCTAAGTACTTGCCTTCTGGTTTCTACAAGTTTTTTTTTAAACTTTTTGCAGTGTACTAGAGAATCCTCGAGAGAATCAAAAACTTTTCAAAAGACACATCTGGACATACATTATTATTAATTAAATAAGGAATACCGTATGGCGAATACCTATCTCTATGAACTGAAATAATACATATCATGGAGTCCCAAAGTTTATTATCCCACAGGGAAAGTAGTGTGGAAGATGAAAATCTCGAGGAAGAAGAAGATGATTGGTCTGATAGGTCAAGTTATAGCACTTACTCGGACTCTGATTCCAGCAGGTAATTGGATTGTTGCAATTAATAAGTAGCTCTATTCTATTGGATGAATGATTACAACAGCAGGTGCTATGTGGTACCATTTTCTAGTTGCTCGATTTGTATCAAGTTGTGACAATGTAAGTAATCTTTCTTATCAGCTTTCTAGAATTATAGTTTCATATCTGCATCAATATTTGTGTGTAAAATGAACCCTTGTCCCATGGTGGAAAAGAAATTCAGAGCTTATGTTATACCTAATTACGTACTTTTTAGGTGCTAATTACTAATTAGGGCCTCTAATTAAAAACTAGATGCTTCTTCAGTTTTTGAGAAAAGTGCTTCTTTTGGTCCTTTGCCAAGATCAAAGGAAAAAAATTCATATCTTCTTCCTTTCCACCTTTAATCGACAATAATAATTCATAATAATTCTATCGAAAATTTAATTGTAGTGATGTCAGTTGGGGGACTATGTAACAAATAGAGATCGTTATTTCTATCTCTATGGCACTTGCTGTCTTCTTCACTCTTCTCGAAATCAATAGAGAAGGGACGTCAATAGAGATAGAAAAAATATCTCTATTCATTACATAGTCCCCCAGCAGATCACTTTGCCAAACAATTTGCATCCAATTCCACAATGGAGGAGAATGGCATAGCGCCACAGGTACTATGGCACATTGGTTGTTACTTGGACAACATGGTATTTAGAGATATTGAACTATTAGGAAAATTCTTCTGCAACTTAACACTGGAAAATCTTATGATTCCGACGGAATTCTACCAATTGTCCTCAATGTTCTCAAAATGCGCTCAGGAATTGGCTCTTTGCAAACTGTTTTCACTCTCTTACAGTCGAGGCGTTGTCTATCTGGAAATGTGCCAGAGTGCAGCCCATTCCGAAAAAGGGCAAGAAAACTCTCCCTAGCAGTCATCGTCCCATCTCACTTTCGAAAGTAATGAAAAAGTCAGTCAACCTGAAACTATGGTTAAATACCTTGAAGCCAATAAGCTCATCTCTGACAAACAGTACGGGTTTACCAAATTTTTTAAAACCTTTATCTAGATTATAAAAAGGCTGTAAGGACATAAATGATCACTATAGTAGTCCTCCAAGCTGTCCCATCCTACGAAATAGTCTGTAATTTTCAATACAAAAATATTTAATATGCCCGCTAACATGGTTCAGTTAAAAAAAAATCCTTAATAATAATGGTTGACTTGATCACAATTCAGGACCAACAACTCTAGATAAGATGAGATAGGATAAGATAATTTATTGGTAATAACATATTATCCGTTTTTTTTTACGGGTACAAATGACGCTGTCTTTTCTTTTTTAGAGGAGCTTTATTTCAAACTGAATGATCGGGAATATGCCGCGGCCGTTTTTTGCGACTTCTCTAAAGCCTTTGACTGCGTTAACCATGAATTGCTGTTAAAAAAACTACATATGTATGGCTTTAGAGGTAGTGTGCTGAGGTTTTTTAGATCATATTTGGGTTGGAGGAAGCAAATGGTCAGGAATGGGTGCCAGGCCTCAGATCCTAGACCAATAAATCATGGGGTTCCACAGGGTTCGGTGCTTGGCCCAGTTCTTTTTCTTTTATACATCAACGATTTAATTAGAACTAATATACAAGGTTTTTTTACTATCTTTGCTGACGACACCACTGTTTTATGGCATCATAAAGACCCAGAGGTTTTAAAGCAGATTATTTCTGAGGATATGGGCAAGATTAAAGAGTGGTGCAATAGCAACTTTCTCTGTTTTAACATAGAAAAAACAAAGGTTTTAAGTTTCAAGCTATCCATTAGTGACATTCCCCTTGGTGACAAGGTAATAAGCGGTTCTAATACTGCAAAATTTCTGGGAATCTATATTGATGATAGACTAAAGTTTAGTGAGCACATAACAAATTTAAATAGGAAACTAGCCTCGGGGTGTTTTGCCGTGCGTCAAACAGTTTCTGCGTTGGGATTCAGAATGGCCAGGACAACATATTTTGCTTTGATTGAGTCGTTTTTGCGTTATGGAGTGGCATTCTGGGGTTGCTGTAACAGAACCCTTTTGGATTCGGTATTTGTTTTGCAGAAGAGGGCAATAAGATACTTATGTGGGGCTGATGTAAGAGAACATTGCAAGCCCCTATTTTTGAAACATCAGATTTTAACTGTCACATGCATTTTTATATTGGAAACAGTTTGCTTAATTTTTAAAAAGTTCAGGGATGTAATCTTTGCCCCGAGCTATAACTTTAGGAACCAGGAAAATATTCTCCTGCCAATTCCAAGATCCAGCCTTACAAAGCAATCCCTGATTTATGACAGCATTAAGATTTTCAATAAATTGCCATCTGGCTGTAGAAGACTACATAATATACAGACTTTTAGAAGAACGGTAAAAGCGTTGCTGGTTGATAAAGCCTATTATTCCTTGGATGAATATTTTGATGACAGGTTATAAAAATAAACCGGGTATTTATATATAAGTTAAGATTTTGTTAGGCCAAAGTGTATTTTGCTTAAGTATGTTTCTATTATTTGTATTTTCTTTTGATTTTATTTGTAAAATTTTTGTATTTAAATGTTGTGATTTTATATGTCTTTATATTTTATTTTATTTTGTTTTAAAGCCCTATACTTCGCTTTGTCTATAAAGATCAATTGTATTTTTACGACAATAAAGCATATATTGATTGATTGATTGATTGAATCCGATGTCCACAGGTAGGTACAGGTAAAATCACCTTTCAATGCTATTTGATAGGGAAAGGTGATAAATTTACCTGCACCTGTGGACATCGGATTGTGAACAGGATATATGTATAAAACACATTTTTACACGTCAAGACAAAGGTACTCTTAGGTAAATGTCGGAAAATTTCTCAACATTACCCCCTAGGTTACTCCCAATTATTATACAGTGTCATTACTTAAGTGTGCAACATATGGGATTTTTTTTTAGTAATAGCACAATCAAAATACAAACAAGGCCAAAAGTTGGTGCACGTCTAATAATCATATTAGGTGCAGTTAGAATGGTTGCAAGTCAAACAGCATACAGGGTAGCTCAAAAAATATCAAAATTGTAGTAATATTTACTTGAATAAAATAAAACTTTTGCACTTTAAGGAGAGTTTTTTTAATATGGCTATTATCATTAGTAATGTTTTAACTTGTTACAAAAAAAATTGCGACATTTTAAAGTTATGTTGAATATCATTGCAACAAACATAAATTTTGTGATTCCATAAAAAATTAAAAATCTTAGTTAATTTTACAAATATGCTTGAATTTGAACAAAGTTATGTAAAATTGATTTGATTTTAATTAATTTTTGAAAGTGTTAAGGGCCGAAATAAAAAATAAAAAAAATATATAATATAATAGATTTTTTTCGAAAAAAAATTAAAAAAATCTTAGGAGGCTATGTTTTGGTATTTAGGCATAACTTTTAATTCCAAACAACTTTTCTCTATAACATTTTGCTGAATTTTCTAAAATAAGGGTACTTTATAGTACAGCTTTGATATTGTATGAGCTACCCTTTATGCTGTTTGACTTGCAACCATTCTAAGTGCACCTAATATGATTATCAGACATGCACCAACTTTCGGCCTTGTTTGTATTTGGGTTGTGCTATTACTAAAAAAAATTCCCATATGTTGCACACTTAAAAAATCACACTGTATATGTATTTATACATTCACAATTATAGGTATTATTCTCGGTATTATTATTAAAATTTCTCTAATAGCTAACTTTTGATATTAAATAATCCATCTTCGTACACATGTTAAAATGACAAGTTAAAAAATCTAAACATTTAAATAATAAAATGGAACACATGGTTACACAATAGATAGAACAAATGGTTACCTAATAAAATAGAAAACATACAGTTACATGTTAAAATCAGAAGCAAAATACTCCTCATATGAGTAGAAAGCATTTTTCATCAAAAAACTCTCATTTCGAACTGGCTGATGCTGAGAAGTTTAATATTTTGTGGTGAGAATATTCAGTCACAAAATTCTGGCGACAATTATCTCTGTAGCCCAAGCCACATATGATACGGACACATTTACGCTAATGTCCAAAAGCCTTAATCCATATAACAAGAATGACCCTATGATAAAATGGCATAGTTTCAGTGGAAATATCCATGATATGCTATCAGAACAGTTTGCCTAGAGATGACTTTCACCAGGTTATGAAACAGGAACAGATCGAGGAACAGATATTTAGACAACTTCTTGGATAAATGGACTATATGATTTTCCCAGGTTAGACCCGGATCCAGATAAACCCCAAGAAATTTAACCTCCCCAACACAGTCTGCTAAAAGTGGGTGGTCAGTTTGTGTGCTTCTCAGCGTAAAGTTCATCGTCTGCGATTTGGAGTCATTGAGGGATAGTTTCTTAGATAAGAACCATTTCAATAGTTCACTCTCAGTATTCTCAAGACCCAGGTTATGTAAGTATTTCAGATGGATGATAGCTCTGATAATATGTAGTATCGTGGGCAAACAAAACAGTATCAGCAGTTTTCTGGGTGCAACATCGTTTATGTACACAAGAAATAATATGGGTCCCAGTAGCCCTGTGGTAGTTCATTATTCAGGGGCAGCTCAGATGAACAATCCTGGTTTATAGACACATATTGCAATCTGTTTTCACTCTCTTACAGTCAAGGCGTATCATCAAACTAATTTAAAATAAAAAACCAGAACAAAATCCTAAACTAAAAACGATCACACGATCACAATAAAATTCGTTCAAACTATAATAAACTGCACCAACCAGCCACCTCTTAACTTCCCTCCTAAAATGTCTCAGGGACGGGATGGATATCAACATCCTTGGCAAATGGTTGTAAATCTTAATGCTTTCATATAGGACAGATTTTTATTTTCCATTGTTTCCATTATTTTAAGTTGGACACATTTCCAGTCAAATAGATAGTATTATGGGACATAAATCTGTGCCAATTTTTGTAGACAAGTGTGACTGTTTCCAGAATAAACAGACTGTATAAAGTTAGGATTTTCTCTTTCTTGAATAAAGGTCTGCAGTGATTTCTATTGTTAGCACCACAGATGTACCTAAGAGCCTGCTTCTGTAATATAAAAACTGAGTCCAAAAGATTACAGATTCTGGGAACAGAACCCCCGAAAGCAGATATCTTATCTTAACCTTGACTCAATGAAGGCAAAATAGACCGATCTGGACAAGGAATGTCCCAGTTCAATGGTCGTTATTCTGACTGCAAAATACCCAGATGATATTTTCTTTGAAAGGCTGACAATGTGAGATTAAAACCCAATTCAGTGTCAATAATAAATCCCAGAAACTTAGCCTCAGGTCGACATTCGATAGAAATATTGGGGACGTTGGCGAGTCCCAGATCGCATCTAAATGACAAAATATTTGTGTTAGTTAAGTTTAACACCAGAAGATTAGAATCACACCAAGACTTGAGCTGCTGAAGATCTGTGAGAATAGCTCGTTTTAGACTCTGATGGTCAGCTCAGTGCCATAGAATTGTGGTGTCGTCTGCAAACAAAATAAATTTCCCGGTTATATTTAGTGATGCAAGGTCATTTATAAAAATTAGACATAAGAGTGGTCCCAGTACCGAGCCCTGAGGTACACCCCAATTATTTTCCAAAACCTTCGATTGAGACGATCCAATGTAAACCTGATGACGATCAGACAAATAGGATTGAAACCATGTGAGTGTCACTCCTCTAAAGCCATAGTGAGAGAGCTTCTGCAACAGGATGTGGTGATTGACGGAATCAAATGCTTTTAATATATCGCAGAAAGCTGCTGCAGTTACTCCACCACTATTAATACTGGAATAAACACCTTCCAAAAATGGGAAAATTGCATCATCCGTATTGCGATGTTCTTGAAAGCCAAATTGACGAGAACTTAGAACATTGTTTGTATTCGAAAATCAGATAACTCTACTTTCAATCAGCTTTTCTACAATTTTGGATAGATTAGGAAGTAAAGTCCGTGGCATGGTTCTTGAGCTACGACTACTGAATAGACGGAGGGGACAATAGGCTATTGCTGCGATGTCATAACAATAATATTTATTAATACATGAAAATTGCAATAATATTTCCTTCATTTTCATGTATTAATAAATATTATTGCTATGACAATGCAGCAATAGCCCATTGTCCCCTCTGTCTATTCAGTAATCGTAGCTCAACAACCATGCCACAGACTTTAGTGATATGGGCCTATAATTAGAGGTATCTCCCAAATCTCCGCTGTTGTAAAATGGAATTACTTTTGCCAGCTTAGAGCATGAAGGGAAGACACCAGACTTCCAAGACAAATTTATTGCCTGAACCAAAACCTTGTCAGGCTTTGCAAATAATTTCATAGACAGCCATCATCCCCAGAGCTTTTTTTATTTTTAATACCTGATATGATCTGTTTCAATTCTTCCCGTCCAGGAAAGTAGGAAATAGTAAAGGGGACGATTAACCCCTGCATTATTTGAGAGAAAACTAAATGGATCAGTGTGTTGAGTAATATTTTTGGTCAGTTAGTTCTGAGATTAATTTTTATATTAAATTGTTTGCATAAAAAAAATAAGTATGCCCATGTGATCTGAGACATGGGTCAAATCAACTGGTTCCGATGAGGTCAAGAGGCAATCAATGTTTGTGAAAACATTGTCAAGAGACCTGTTTAAACGTGTATTGAACTTAACAGTTTTGTTAATACCAAACGCTCTGAACAGATTGCAAAGACTCAAAGCCCTAGCATCCCTCTCATTGAAATGCACATTAAATAAATTCACCTCTAATAATCATAGGTTGATGGTTGCTCAATTTCCCCAGAATCTGTGACAGAACCTCAAGAAACCTGTCAAAACTACCACTAGGAGATGGATACAATATGACAGCCTGCACCAAACTTCCTCAATAATATCCCTGCCTGAGACTTCACAATGTTGTTCTTATTTAGACATGTTTTAGAAACCTAAAGAAAAAAAATCCTGTCCAATTCCCCAGGCACCAACCAATGCTCATTCAAGCGAAGACAGTCAGCCAAAGTCTCATTGAGAAGTACTTCATAATCTAAAAACTTATTTCTAAACGACCAACTCTAATGCACGATTTGTCTTGTAAGAGTTTTGACCCCTGAGTAACCTCTACCTCTATGTGCCCCTGTTTGGGGTCATCGGGCGTTAGACATGGAGAAAATGGTTTATCCTTGTTTCAGAGGGCCATAGGTCTGCAGACATGACAGCATCATCATTTCTCTTGATACTTCACTGGCTTCCACCGTTGGTTCGGGGGCAAAGGCAGAAACAAAAATCTTTATCGATCTTCTTCACTACTTTCAACATATTATCTGTGTTTGCTCCTTCCTTTGGTCTGTTGACATGAGACTTTTTTTTGTTTTAATTTTCGCCAGGATTGACCTCATCATTTGGAATTTTGCTGGAAATGTTGGAATAATTCTTTGTTCTTCTCTACATTCTCTACACAAATAGCAAACCGCCTTCTATTGTAAAACAAATATTGAGTTAAATAATTGCCTGTCAGGTGACCCCAAAAAGCAATACTGTATCTCGCATGAGACTAATAGAGTAAAAATCAAACGAGAAGAAGCCACTGTCGTCAGCGCTGACAAAGAAAGCAGATTTCCTTTTATCTGGGTCCGTCCCATTTAAAGTGAGACAAACGATAACGCGTGTAGCTTCTTCTCGTTTGATTTGTACTCTAAATAGTGAGTGATAAACCATTCCAATTTTTCAACAAGACAATCCGAGATCACATACCGCTGCAGTTACTAGAAACTTCCTCCATCAAGCTGATGTAACCCTTCTTCCATGGCCCGCAAAGTCACCAGACTTATCGCTTATTGAGCATGTCTGGGATGTGGTAGGTAGAAGGCTGAGGCAGTTTCCTTATCTTCTATCGGATGTACAACGTCTACGTCATGAGGTGAGATTAGTCTGGGAGAACCTACAACAGGCTAACAGGCAGATATTGATCATCTGATTCGCAGCATGCCACAAAGAGTTACAGAATGTCAAAACTCACGTGGAGGCGCAACTCATTGCTGAATTGTTGAGAATTCCTTCCAATAAATTTGTTTGAGGTCATCGATTGTTATTCATATTTATCCCAACTAGTTCCCAAAATATAAATAAAATATAATAAGCATTTACTGGGTATTGCAATCTTTATGTCACACGTTATATATTCAGAGAAACTGCTGATAAGGGCGGGTATTATAAAACTACTTTGAGAGTTAACTTTAAGTTAACTCTCAAAGTAGTTTTATAATACCCGCCCTAAGAGATACACGTTTATGTTGCTTATAGAATTTGAAAGTTTTGATAAGAAGCGTACTTACTCTATGGAATCGGGCATCAACTCTTTAACTCACTGCTTGTCTTATAAAGCAGGCTGTTAGGTGCATCTGCAGAGACTCCTTGTATTGGAATATTTGGAATTGGTCTTCATGATTTGAAAGCAAAATGATGCCTGGCAAAAAGTCACTCGGGAACCACCATCTGAATTAAAACCGAGAATAAAACATTCTGAAACCTACAAAGTTTTAAGAAAAACTGCATTGGAAGAATTCTGCGGCTATAACTTCTATCTTTATTTATGTTTTTGCTATAATTACCTACATATATTTATTTATAATACGTTTTCGATCGTTCAATCATCTATCTTTTGTATACATGTTTAATTTCATATTGATAATGTTTACTATTTGACTTGTGTATCATCAATATAAGTAATTATTGATTCGTCCATATCAATTTCCCTCTTTCCCAGTATAATACCTGATTGGGAACCATACGTCGACGATTTTACTGGTGAACTCCTGTACATTGACTGTCATCCATTTGTAACTCACAACCGATATCAAACTAAAACCGTTGAAGAACCAGAAGCGTTTACAAAAAGCCAGCTAAGAAGAAGCACTAGAGGCAAATTCCTACGATTATTGAGAAGAAGGGAAAGTAAAAGGTTCAAAAAAAATCAAAAACCTCTTGAAGAAGGCATGTTATACTTCTTCTATACCTATATGTAATTCTGTAATTAACATTTTATAATTTAGGATTTGAAATAAACACCCAGAAAGTTAAATTTCAAGATTTCCAAGAAGGCGAACAGAAGGAAGTTACACTAGAAATTGATCAAGAAAACAGGTATAATTTGTCTAGTGATAAATCACTGGCAGAATCACTTTTAGGGCTCATTGTTAGCACTTTATCAGATGGCAATAGAGTAATGATAGCTGGTAAAGCAATTTTCACATAAAATTGACTCGATGACATTAGAACACATTTTTTTTAGGGTTTTCTTATGATAGCAAGGCAAAAAACGATCGCAACATAAAAATCGGAGATTGGCTCAAAACCATAAATAACATTGATGTTAATGTTCATAATTTAGATGATATTTTGCAGAAATTTATTAATCATAATGAAGTAATACCTAGTTTACATTTAAATTCGAACAATAATTTTACCATAAATTTTCAAGGTGTTGCTTACATTACAAAGGGTGGGAGCTACAGAAGTAACCAAAGACCCTCCAATCAATGAACTAAATCTTGAATCAGCATTCGTCAGGGATCTTTTAAATAGCAAAGCTGAGGAAAACCTACTTGTTTTACAAAAATTATGTGATTTTCCAGTTGGACTTGTATTTATCAATACTGGTAAGTTAATTTTTTTCAATAGGCATAAACCTACTTATTTTAATATTTTTTCTCAAGAAAAACTAGATGAAAATAATAAAGCAAATGAAGATGTGATTTATCACTTTCCAAAGGCACTTAAAAAGAATGCCTTATGTAATTCCAGAGGAATATTTATTACATTAAGTCATTTACTAGAAGACATTACGAAAACCTCACCCAAAATTAGCTCTATGTTGTACAAGGAAAAACTAGCACATGTTGTTTACACAAAATTTAACAGCAAACTAATGTTATTTATGTTACCAGATGAAAGAGCCAGTGTTAAAGAAGTAATGCTTATGAACTCAGAACTTCTAAGATTTTTGGAGTTTAGTTTTGAAAATATCGATCAGTGTTTTTGTTGGAGTCGATATGTAGAACAGGTAGATCGGTTATTGTTCAGGTGTGTCTTTGTCTAATTCGCGATAATGCATTTTATTGGTAGAATGGTCTCTAGGTATTTTGCAAGAATTATCTGTAACAGTGACTGGGCCACTACCGATCAGTTTATGGAATATCAATTTGACCATAAGGACATCAATAATACAAACAATTGTATATTTGAACAAATCATGCCAGTAGTGCCAACTTTAAAGTTACATGACGATGCTGTAAGGCAAATTGATGAGGCTTTATCTGAATTAGAAGCTAGTGATTATCGCGAATGGGTAAGGAATACAACATTTTTCTTTCAATTCCCTTGCCCCCAGGTCCTCATTTAAAGATTTCTCATAGTTTTAAAATATATTTGTCCCACTGAAACTTCTGATGTGCCTGTGTTGATTTTGCCGTTATGTACTATTAGCACAAACTATTTCTGTTTAATCAAAATTACATCAGACTGTAGTCCCTCAAACTTTTATTTTTGATCATATCTGTGTCCTAACTTGACACATAATAAGATGTTGACCAAGTTACATTACAGTGCAGCTCAATTTTACTGTTTCATGATATTTCTTCTTCACTTATCATTTACCACTATTAATTCAAAAGTGTAATGCTTTATGAAATATTGAGCTGGGGCCCGGCTGGTTTTGGTCAATTCTTTAAATATGTTAACATGTCATTTTAGAACGAAGATCCTCTTGATTGCCAGCGCCTTTTCACAATATTAGGAAGCGCCTTATTCCATGCAGGCTACCTCTTGCATTCTCACTTGATGCATGATGACTTAGTGGATGTATATAATTTTTGCAAATACCAAGGCATAGTCCATCTCTCGAAAACTGAACCAGTGAAGTCTCTAGTTTTATGGAAAGAAGTTTATCCGCGATCTTGCCGACCCGAATTTCTTGGTACAGTCAAAATTCCTGAAGGTCGTCGTTATTTATTAGTGGTAGGCACAGGAAAAGTATGTATTTTGTTAATTTATTTTGGTTTTTTGTAAGTAGTGTTTTTAAAGGATTTTTTAGCAGTTATTATGGAGGCAGGTGGTGCCACTGAACCGCCAGAAGAAAATATGGGTCCAGATGCGTTTTATGTAGAAGAAGTTCAAGCTACCCTCGCCCATATTCAAGAACTAGGTCTGAGTATCGTTGCTGAGCGTTTTTTAATGTCAAACGGTGGCTTCCAAATAGCCAATCCAATGCCTTCAATGAACCAAAAAAGAAGTGATTTTATAGGATCCTTAGGGTTTCCAACAAAATCCAGTGTACCCCAAGCACATAAAGAATCTTCTTCGGGTATAAAAAAGAATGAAGTAATTTCAATTTTAAAGAGGCGAAGCTCAGAACAAAACGTTTTGAATACATCTCATGAAGATTCATATGATGCATATTCAGAAGGATCTGAAAGTCAGAGTTATAGTGAAGCTTTTAGTGAAATAAGTGACGAATCTAGCAGGAATAGGAAACTTAAATGCGATTCAAATGATGAAGATTCAGATTTTGATGATTATGGGGTAAAAATGATGTTTTTGTTAGAATCAAAATACAAGAAGTTATTTCAGGAAGGAAGCCAATTAAGTAGCAGCAGTTGCGATCTATCTGAAATTCGTCAGTCACTATTGGCAGATTCAGACGAATACACACCAATTCAATTAACTTCTGGTCGGTATAACGTTTTATTCAATTTTCTCCAACTGGACACCACAGAAGGATTGTTGGTTACACCATTGGATTGTAATTTACACTCAAATACTTATCAGTTGATTCTAAATAACTTTCGGCGATGTTGCCAAAATATTCATAGTATTTTTCAAAGTACTTTGCGTTTTAAGGTATATTTATTGTAATTGTAAAAAAAGTGGCTCATTGTGACTTTTTCAGAGTTTGCCAGCACAAGACGTAGCAAAATCCTTAATGAACAAGAGCTTGATTGCCATTAAAGAGTATGGAATGTTATTCGAGTGTCCGTTCAATGATGAAAAAGAGTCAAATAAAAAAGCAAAGATTAGCTATTGGGTTATAGGGTAAATTCTTTGTGCTGTTCACATTTTATTGTAATTGTTGATTTTTTAGGCGTTTGTTTTATACACCGCATCCCAAAGAGCTTTACATTTGCTATCAAGATACTGTACCACAGAATCTCGTGGAATTGGCATTTAAAATCAATCTGAATAGTATTTTGTGATTTTGATTCAACTATTGTAAAAGGATAGGTTGGTGTTATCGAGTCTAGTTCTTAAATTAACTTTCATAGAATGCGAACCAATGACCTATTAACACAGATAGACAGAACAATAAACAATAATATCGGTTGACTACATGCCAGGAACCGCATCTCTCCCCACTACTTATTAATCCTTGTGTTATTTTGTATCTTTCTCTAACACGTGGAAAGCGATTATTTTTCAATGAAAATTAGCAACGCTGCAAAAAAATAAATCCCACCTCGAATTCCACCTTTCCACCAATCAGCGGCTTCTATTCGATTGTCATGTCAAAATGAGACCTGCAGGTATTTTATGACAATTTCCATTTGTCAATCAGTGCGCAGTGAGTGTATCCACATCTTTTTCTAAAATTATGTAAAATATAAGGATAAAGATACACTTTTGTAGCACTGATTCTGGTTTAATTTTCAGAGTTGCCAAGTATGCGATAGTAAAATGGGGGCGGAGTTGGCGGAATCATTTGAATCCCTACTCCTAGCCGCTCTCACAGCTCACCCCCCCTGGCCCATAAACATGTAGTCAACCAAAACAAAGCTATTTTATCAATGGGATGTTCTGTCTATCTGTGTTAATAGGTCATTGATGCGAACTACACTCAACCACAAAATATACTCGAATCAGCAGAGGCTTTACTGACTTTTCTCAAGGAAATTTTCTGTCCATAATTCAAAAAACTCACGCCTCTACATATTTTTTTCATGCACTAAAAGCAAATGCTTACTAATACAATCGAGAAATACTAAATAGCCTGTTGACTAGACAAAGAGGTACAAGGCGGGGTGCAGGGGTTCTCAACCTTTCGGTCCTTTAACTTTCACGTGGCGGACTTTATTACCATCCGTATTGCCAAAACAATTGCAAGTTTTCAAATTTCCACCCTGATTGAATACGAGAAGCAAAACCCTATGAATATTTTTGAATTGTTACAAGTCAATATTTATACATGAAAAATGTCCAAAAAATTGATTTTCAGTCTTTTCATTCTGTTATGCGTTGGCTAATACGTAATGTATAGTGCGGTGTCGACTGTAAATTTTACTTTGCAATGATTTCGTAAGTGCTACTCCTGCAGGGCCCTGCTTCATACGCGCCCTACGGATTATGCTAATTTTCAGTTAGGGGTTACGGAAATTGGTTGAGGGTTGATGCCACACGAACCTCACAATTATGCTTTTATACCAAGTGTATAATCGCGAATTTTCTTAAAAATAAAGACGAAACACTAACAACTTAAACATACTCATAGCTTCATAGTCAACCATCCAAGGACCTTTTTTTTCAGTTATACATGTAAACCCCATACTTTGTGAGTGGCTTGCTTACATCAAGTCCTACAACTTTTCCTCTACGACTTTTCTCGGAAATGGCACGTATGCGCGCAGGCGACTCGCAAACATTTTAGGGGTATCGGACTCCCCCAATTTGCCATTATTTTTGTCGGCCAAGTTGATTTCCGTGATTTAGAAATAAAAATCAAACATTATTCGTGAAATTAAATTTTCATGTATCAAGAAACATAACCACGTCAGATCGACATTTTGGGGGTATCGGACTCCCCCAATTTGCCATTATTTTTGTCGGCCAAGTTGATTTCCGTGATTTAGACATAAAAATCAAACAGTATTCGTAAAATTAGATTTACCTACATGTATCAGGAAATATAGCTACGTCAGATCGACATGTTTGCGAGTCGCCTGCACGCATACGTGCCATTTCCGAGAAAAGTCGTAGAGGAAAAGTTGTACGACTTGATGTAAGCAAGCCACTCACAAAGTATGAGGTTTACATGTATAACTGAAAAAAAAGGTCCTTGGATGGTTGACTATCATAGGTACTTCAATAAAAACCAAAATTTTAAATAATATTTAATTATAACAAAATATTAATTCCTCTAAATTAATAGCTATAAAAATATGTAGAAAGATAATTCAATAATATAAACGCAATTACATACAACAATACCTAAATAAGAGAAACAGTAATATATTATAATACCTACTTAGGATATAACCAATGTATTTTCTTTCATAATAATTCCTCCAAGAAATGAATCAAGATGATTAATTCAAATTCATTATTTATTCATGTAGACTCAAATTAAGTTTATGAAAAGCAGTCAGATCTGTTCAAGTTGACCTCAAATATTTTTAATGCCTTTTCCGATTTCAAATCGTCTACCCATTTCTCTATCACAACACTAAAGAAGACACTTTGTTTCAATCCCACTAAGACTGTTAAATAAAAATAGTTATTTACATTCCAAGCTGCGAAGCAAAGTGCAGCCGAGGCTATTTGAATATCTCCGAGCACCTAAGAGTGCTTTTGCAGCGTGAAATGTATTAAAATTTTCATTCTTCCCCTTCAAAAATCGTGAATAGGCATGAGAAAGTGAAACATGCTAGTAGTGAAAGTGAAATTAAGTTAAGTTTCACTTTCGCTTTCTCTCGCCTATGCAAGATAAAAAAAATCTTCTTTCATAGGATGGAGAATGAAAAATTACTTACATCTTCAATTACAGAAAAAAAAGTTCAGGTATGTATCTTGAAATTCTAAGTGAATATACATATTATTGATAAATTCTAATTTGATAAAATAATCAAAGCACTATTATAGCATATCATCTAATATTTTAGTTGCAAGTTGCAGTCTGTCATTTACCATGGAGGACGGTAAGCTGGTTGCTGGGGTTGTTGTGGAGGTTGTTGAGGATAAGTTCCAGGAGGATAAGTACCTGGAGGGTAGCCAGCTTGGTAGTTTTGGTAATTTCCTAAAAAAAACGGTATTTTTGCAAAAATTAAAATAGAAAGACAGATTACCTGGCCAAGTTCCATAAGGATTATATCCTTGAGGCATCGGTGGTGATACGTAAGTATTGTAGGCTGCAGCAGCAGCACCAGGGGTACCATAAGGTACTGGCATACCTTGTACATATACAGGGTAAGGAAGATTAGGTGGAACCTGACCTGGAGCGGCTGGTTGAGGAGCTAAACCTCCTGATGCAGTTGGACTTGAATTGGCTGGTTTGGGATCTAAAACAAATAATTAATGTCTGTGCGAGCTAACCAGGGATTAAAAAAAAAAAGATGCTCTTCAACAGAAAGTACTCGGAGACTTTGATGCCCTAAAAATACTAGAAATAAAATAACTTAGAGTAATATAACTTACCAGAGTAATAACTCGGGGTTGCTGGTGGTGCAGCTGGTGTAGATCTACTGCTTTCTTGTGTCAAATCTTTCAGCAGTTCCTCTTTTTCCGTTTTTCGCGCAAAACAGAAGTCGGACACTTTATTCTGGAAAGTTACCAACAATTGTGTCAAGTCATTATAAAACTTAGTGCCTTCTTTTAAATTATTCAGCAGGTCCCTAAAGACGTCGTGTGCGGCAGCTAATTGACACATCATAGCTTCTCTACCTCCTGTGGTTGAACCTCTTTCAGCAGAAAATTGTTGATGCGCAGCCCTGATTCTATCAATCAAACTTTTTTGTCTTTCCAAACTTTCAGCCACTTGCTTCTGCAATGATCCATAAGTTTGGCCCAAGGTCTGATAAGACAAGGCTGGTTCATTTATTTCTCCATCCTTGGACAAAGCTATCAGGAATTTATCTTTCATATCAGTAGTGGCACTCTTCAATTCTGACTCTATGGCATCACGTTCAGCTTTAATCGTCTCAACTTCTTCCATCAGAGATCTTAAAGTGGCAACTGATGAAGAATTTTCCACATTACCGCCATTGCCAGATGGTAGAGATGTCTCTAATTCTGCAGGTGACTTACTTAAAAGTTCCATCATGGGTTTGTGGGTGGTAAATTTGTTTTGGACCAACTTGTCTGCCTAAAAAATGAACAGTTTTCATTTCAAATTACATAAGGAATTTTTCAGGGAACAGTTCTGGGTCATGCAGTTTCCATAACATATTAAAACTGAATAGATGGAGTAGTTATCTCAAAAGCGAATGACACTATCATCTTTTTATCAGGAAAAGATGCGAAAATGTAGCAGATAAACCAATAACCAGTTTTAAGATCAAGGACTGGCTTCAGACATACTATAAAACTTTTACAAATTGTATAAATAGATCTTCACAGAAACGCTGATCCGTAACCCCATCACCAGCTGATGTAATTTGACTTTTTTCAATCATCTTTATTGAAGAAAGATAAGGAACAAACAGCTGGTGATCGGGTTAATCGGATCATCGTTAAGGCCGTATGATCGCTTCTGGTTCATTGCTCTAAACCCCCCACATATCACCTTTTGTACATTTCTTAAAACCCGTTTTCAAATAAAAAAGGATTTTTCTTTTACAATATGTAATAAATACGTATTAAAAAAGCCCAAATATGTACTTACTTCAACAGCATTATTAATTATCTGTCTATATTTCGCAGCATTGGATCTAAACATTTCTGTCAGTTTATCCGAAGGAGTTCTAGTCCACCTTTCCTTGAATTGTTGCCTTAAAGAGTCATCTGCAGCCTTTTCTTCGTTCAAAATTCTGTCAGTTTCATCTAAAATATCCTGGTTTCTTTTAAGTGACTCTGGTAATTCTTCAATCATTTGTCTCAAGGCAGAAATACCACCCAGCCCTGATACATTTTGAGCTTTTTCTAAAATGGATGGTGGAAGACCAGTGTTGGAATCGGTTACTTCTATAGCAGCTGGTAGGTTCAGGCTTGCAAGGATTCTGAAAAATTACTGGTTGTTTCAAAATATCGTTTAGAGTTAAATTCATTGCTTACCCATTAAGTTCTTGAGTTGACTCTCTTAATTTTGTAATTTCGGTGTTAACTATTTCAGTTTTTCTCAAGTCATATGAAGCCAGAGCTTGATGGACAGCTACAGGAACCAAACTTGTGAAAAGATCTGGAAAGAAAAACCCAAGGAAAAACCTCAATATTGTTTTATTTCGTGAAACAAGTTACCTTACCTTTGAACCCTTGCGACATTCTTTCTTGGACCGGTAATATTTTAGCCAATGGTGCCTTACCAATCAACTCCAATGATTTGTAATCAGGGACACGTTCGTGGTAGATAAAATCATTATCTTTCTCTACCTCAGCCAAATTCCTTTCTGCTTTATTAAGCAGATCACTGAACAAACTTTTACCAGACCTTGATTGAGCTGCTTTAAATTTTTCAATGGCCACCTTAAATGGATCCCATAAGAATTAGATTATAAAAATTAAAAAGTTGACTTACTCTCAACCTGGTTATTTCTTCTCCAATGGCTTTCTTTTCCTTGCATACAAGAGCTTGATGGAGTTCAGCAACTGCTGAAAACGCTGCTTGCTTTCCACCAATCTGGAAAAGAAGCTTAAATATTAGAAAAAAATATTTGGTACAATTTACATTCTAGTTACCATAGAAATCCAATCTTTATCCCAAATGTTTCTCAAATTCTCCCTTTGGAATGTTCTTAGGCATTCAGCATACAATTCATCAGCTTGAGCTGCTAGTCTGGCAACAATTGATTCTTTCATGTTATCTGCACATAAACAAACATTTAATTATAGTTGAAAGAGTTTTGAAATATAAAAAAAATAGGCTGTTCTCAATCAAAGATGATGTAAATTATATTTACCGTGCATGGCCTTATGAACAAACATTTCCTGGGCTTGAGCCAGCATAAGTTGAGATAAAGCACCCAAAGTATCAGGGTTCAGATCTGGAGTAGGATCTTGTTGGATAGCTAGCATTACAGTTGATTTCAAGTGACTAAAAATGCCAGCTGCTTGCTAAAAAAATACTTTTTTAAAAAAATGTTTAAGTGGTAAATGGTCTTACTTGTAATAACTTGGCAGCCAATTTAAGTCCGTCGTCATTCTCAACACTTTGTGCACTCGCCACAGCACTTTGTAGTGCAGCAATGTTGAAGAGAATACAAACTTTTTCGAAGCTGAGAGAGGCAATTGCTAAAAAATATGTTTTATTCATTAAATGTGCAGTTTTTGTATACTTTTGCAAAGAAGTATCACAAAGTATAAATAATCATTGTTTTGTATAAAAAATAAAAATCTTGGGATGAATCCAAAATTAGTCAGGTATAATGCCCCAGTGGTAGGTTCTAGCAAATGAGAAATAGATGATTAATGTGCCAGAGTTGAGTCGTAAGGTAAATGTGAAACTGGTACCTATAATTTGGCAAAATTACCAGGTAAAAATCCAAAAACAACAAAATTGTTAAATAGCTTTTTATACAATAAGCTACGAAATATGCGTCTTTTAAGGCACACAACATGTTAATTGTCCAATGAGGAAAAGCCAAATTCTTATCATAAATAGGCGTAATCGGCTCTTATTCACATGAAAAAAATGTTTTTTTTATTATATGTAAATCGCCAGTAGAAAAACTCTAGTATACAACCCGCTACGGAACAATCTGTTAATCACTTGACCTGTTGTCCAACAGCTTTACCCCGTTTGACAATTTTTACGTTGCTTGAGTGCCTAAAATATGTTCATTTTGTAACTTATTGTATGAATAGCTATTAAGTAGCAATCAAGCGTATTGCAATCACCTTTGTCAGATTTAAGTGACTAATTTTGATATTTGATCTCCGATATTGGCCGTTTCCTTCCAAATTTTTTTGGATTGAATACTATTTAGTACAGACCACATCTTTTCACTGTCACCTTCAGCTTCTGTATCTGTAATTTTGGGAGGGTGGTATAGTATGCCACAGAACAGCACTTAGGCCCATTGTGCGCCTCCACAAGAGGAAAGGACATCCTTAGCTCTTCACATTCAGCTTCTTCAAGTTGTGAAGAAAGATATATTTTTTTTACATTATTTCCCTCCTGCCTTGAGATGTTTTGGGCTCTCCTAGAAAGGCGCAGTAATTCACTGTTTGGGAATTTTTTGGATCTTCTATAATGGTAGTGTACATTAAACCAAGGGGCGGCTTTTCTGCGAAAAGTTCTCATTATTTCATCATAAGAAAATATTATGGAACAAAGAATAACTCAATGTTGTAATCTCTCAAGGCCCCTTTACCACATTTTCAACCTGTCATTATGTAGAGGTGTTTTTCCGGAGTTTTGGAGGGAAAGTTTCCTCAAGCCCATCTTCAAGTCGGGAGACAAATCTGTGGTAACCAATTACCGACCCATTAGAATCATCAGCACAATCCCTAAGGTATTTTATAGTCTAGTATGTGACTTTCTGACCCCCCCCCCCTCATAAGGGAACAGTTTGGTTTCAGACCAGGCAAATATACGGGATTAAGAACCGGTTTATCAGTGGACAGTTATTGAGTTTAGCTGTTGTTTAACTAATAACTATCGTTGGTTGAACGACAACTTAACTGGATAACTGTCCACTGATAAACCGGTCCTTAAACTTTTAACACAAACTGACTATCTGTTGGATGCATTGAAGAAGGGATTTCAAGTCGATACGATTTACACTGTCTTCTCCAAGGCATTCGACAAGGTCTTCCATACCATGTTATTGCATAAGCTTTGGTTGATTGGAATCGATGAACCCTTGATCAAATGGTTCCACAGTTACTTGTCTAGTCGGAAGCAGATTGTTAAAATTAGTAATTTCCTTTGTAAAACTATTCATGTTACCTCTGGTATGCCACAGGGGTCCCCCCATCTTGGGCCACTCCTTTTCAATGTCTTTATCATGCTTTACCATGTGCCTTTTCTAGCTGTTTGCCGATGACGTCAAAATGAGCTGCATAATTAAATGTCTGAAGACTGTGACAAACTACTAACAACCTGCGAGAGTGGTGCAATAGTTTCATGGATCTCAATCCTTCTAAATGTAAAGCCATTACTTTTTCGCGTGTTAAACCCCCTAATAAATTTATTTATAATATTGGTATACACCATAAAAAGTTTATAAAATTTTTATTTAATTTCTAATTTATATTATATTCATTTTTTATTTATTTTATATTATATTATTATAGCTCTGAAGAAGAAGCGAAAGGCTTCGAAAGCTAGGCAATTGTAAAAGAGCAATAAATCTATGATACTGACTGTTTCCCAGTTATTCGAACAATATCAATTATTAACAGTCGTGATCCATAGAATAAATTGGTATACACCTTTATGGAGGTTTCCATTATCAAAGATCTTGGTATTTGACACAAATTTTTGAAACAAATAGCCTATAAACTACACATTTTGGATAATTATAACCACACCCTACTCTCTCTATGTTAAATATGGCCTCGATAACTATGCGTCATAAAAGGAAAGACCTTACAACCTTCTATAATATTCTACACGGAAAGGCTTCAAATCCTGAAATTCTTCATGAAATCAGCATTCATGTCCCTCCTAGAACTACCAGTTCAACTGACTGAGTTTTCATGTCCATGTTTCATAATATATCTTTATCTCCCAGCTAGACTCGCAAACGAGCACCACAAAATTGACCTTTTTGCTCCCTTAAACATTTTCCTTAGTCAAGTTTGTCATACTTTTAGGTAGTTAATTCCAAATTTGGAGTTCCAATCGAAACAAAGTATAACTACTCTTTGTTATTGGATGTGATTTTCACCTATTTTCACTATTCGTACCTATCCTACCGAAACTTCACTAATGTTTTTTTCATGTAACTGTATTTGTTATTACATCTGTTATTAATTCTTAAGTTGTTAATTCTATTTTTATTTTATTATTGTTATCTTTGTTTATTTTGATCTGGTTATTAGCTACTAACTATTCTCAACTAATTGTGAATTGAGAGTTTAATATTTTGTAAGTGGGCTCGCTCGCTTGTTGATTATAGACCCTGAGATAGCCTGTTTAGCGGAGTCATTTTTGTTTCGTCTGGCATTTTGAGGGATGAATGTGAGTAGTCAGCTGATGAGAATATAAATGGTTTTAATGCCTGCCTCCTGATCGAAATGTCCACAGAATGTTTCGCCGGAAAACTCGATTTCGAACTGTGATTACCATTTGGTGATTTTTCAGCGTTATTTTCACAACAAAACCTTTCATTCTCTGGATTGCCAGACAAAAAGTAAACGCGGAAGGTTCTTTTCTTTTCTCTTGGAAGTTGACACCCATCCCCATATTTTCAGCTATTGAAAAGCATCTGATATTTTTCATCAGTGAATTATTTATCAATGTCAATCAATTTTTTTCTTCTGCAAATTTTCGAACGGGAGGCCGGCATTAAAATCACCCATATTCTCATCAGCTTAGTAGCCACATTCAGCCCTCAAAAATGCCAGACGAAAAAAAAACGACTCCACTAAAAATCCCCTATCTTACAGTCTATTAATAAAAAAATAAATAAATGAGTAATGGTTCAAATGTATTTGGAAATTATACTGAGCGCTTTCGACCTAACTACAACAGGTCATCTTCAGGGTCGGTTTCGTCAAATTAATTGTACAGAGGGTAAGCAAAACATAGAGAAACTGAAGTCCAACATTGCGTTAACATGCATTCAGGAAACGGGGTGACGTGGATACAATATAAAACTCTTATTAAATAGAACAAAGGACAAACAGGCACAATAAAATATTAAAACACAACGGTCTCTAGACAAACGGAAATCATTTTATGCTAAAGGGCAGCTTATGGAATGATTCTTGTCAAATTTCAATGTCTTCTTGATTCTTGTCAAATTTAACTAATAACTTGGATCAGGGAAAGAAATGCATATCAGTGTTCTTGGATCTGGCGAAGGGCGAAGGCCTTCGACACTGTGCCGCACGATGCACTGTTGAATGTCTTAGATAATTATGGAGTGCGCGGTACTGTGCTGAGGGTGTTCGACAGTTATCTTGCCAACCGGAACCAAGTTTTGAGAGTCTTGAGCGTGTGTAGTGATCCGCTGGTTGTAAGGATAGGAGTTCCACAGGGTACCGTGCTAAAACCCTTACTATTTATCTGATACATAAATTCCGTAACTGACATGAATATAGAACACTGTAAAATAGTATCTTAGGTTGATGACACGATTGCGGTTTTTACGGGAGAAACATGGGAAGGGGTATTGAACTCGACGCGAGCCGAGTCCAGCACTGGCTAGACTCTTTTGGACTTACATTGAATGTTGGAAAGACAAACTATATTACCTATTCTCTAACTGCTGCAAACAGGCCACAGTTTGAGACTATACAAATAGATGAACTCGAAAACGAAATAGAGGAAGTTGAATATACAAAATATTTGGGAATTACTATAGATAGACATCTTAAATGGAACTATCATGTTGGGAAGCTGAGTAATAGCATAAGAAAATTAATTAGGAAAATGTATATTTTGAGAGAGATATTGGGAAGGAAACTTTGATTATGTGTTTACAGGGCAATTGTCGAATCTTTACTGAGATATTCTATTGTTGTTTGGGGTGGTCTATATAAAAACGCTCTGTATCCATTGAATGTTGTGCAAAACTATATTTTAAGAATTATTGACAAGAAAAATAAATTATATTCCACGCATCTACTGTATTCTGACGAAATTCTCAATGTTCGCTCCTTGTATGTACAGGGTGCTGCAATTTGGAGTGTTTCAACATGAAAAACATACTTCCAGGCCAGATAGAGGAAAATTGACTTAGACGTCATGGGATCGATTTTTTAGAAACGTCAATTGTCAAAAACCGTATCACGATATCTTCAATGGTACCATTGATACAGGGCGATTTTCGATTTTCCCCTATTATGAAAAATGGCTATAAGTTTCTTATTTATCAATTTTTTTTATTTCTGTTAAAACATTATGGAGACACTTTTTTGAGCACAATCCAGTAGCGGACTCAGTTTTTTTCTATATTGCTCCGATTTCGAGATATCGACCAAATTCCGATATTTTCGAATGAAGCACCCCATATATTAATAGCTCATTCGATAGCTCTGTTTTTGCTGATTTCAATGATATACAGTTCAATAGGTTTATCTTTAACAGTTTTCGAGAAAAAAAATTATATCTGTTTTTG